AGAATTTTCCCAAAAAACAAACACAGTTTGTGTCGATTTATGTTGAAACTTAGAAAGTATTGGCGAACACTAATTGCGACGTACTTGAAATATAAACCAAAAAAGTTACTGACTTCAGAAATCAGTACTTCTTTAGAAGTTAATCTAACAACTTAATTTGTTTTAGCAAGGGATTTATATTTTTAATGCATCGTACACACAGATTTTGAACATCTTCAACAAGCTAAATATCTTAATTAGTTACTGATACAACTACATAATTAGAAACAATCAAGTATCGTTACTTATTTATGATATGAACAATTACAATTGTATTCTATAGAGACACATAAACTACGCAATTATTGTACGACCACTGTGTGAAAATGTAAATTTATTCCATTTTAAACAACTTGTTTCATCGTAGATCATGGTTTTATACACTTTAACACAAAAGAAGCTCAACCTGATGGGAGCCTGATTTTACACACGTTTTCTTATAATATACCTATACCAGTATTTACGAGGTGTCTATTGAAAGTGAAATGTTAACTCATAAGTTTCTGAGAAGTAAAGTAGGTATAGGGTAAAGTACTCATACATACCTGGCTAGTCTATACTTGCAACCGTAACGTTTGTCCTATTATTTAAATCAAACGAGGTGACAGAACGCTTTATAGCCGGGAACTCTGGCCATGCCTTGTTTTATTAGACGTACTCAAAATATTAAATAACAATTATCATGCTTTTAATTTAGCAAGAATCAAAGACTACAAATGTAAAAATTGCTTAAACACATATTGAAGACCAAGATGAAAAAGCCTTGGCATAGTTTGATAACTATGTGTAAAAAACCTTTAAGAATGTGACAAAAGTAAAAAATCTGGGCATTAAAATCAATAGATTTATGATGAGAATATATAACCGCCACTGCAAGCAGGTACAGGTAGACGCCTGTCCTCTACCCAATATCTACAATGGTTTTACTCCAACACATCGCCGCCGCCGCCCCCTTTTTATATTATTTTACAGTTACTTTACGATTTGTATAACCATGTATGCGTAGATATATTTATGAGTGATTATCTCCGAAGCATTATTCACAGCTTGGTGATGTCATTGTTGCTCTCGCTTTTACATCTATTTGACAGTATATGCGCAGTATTGCCAAACTTTACAAACGTGTCGTGTTTTGGACAAAAATTTACTCGATTTGCAAATGTGGACGCACAAAGAGAGGTTTGAAGTACTTATCGTTCGGTTTTGTTATATTTATATACGTTTGTAATTTTTATTTGACATTTTATGCTGATGCTAAACGTGATATAGGTACTTTGAGAAGATAATTATAAAAAAAGCAGTTACTATACTTTTAAATAAATATTGAAAAGACTTCAAACAATTTTTGAACATCATTGAGCATTGGTAGTGAACACATCACGTACTACATGGCTGCTGATTGGCCTGAGCTAATTGAAGTCGACGTTGACATTCATTACCGATGAACAACAGCAGCTATATTTTAAACTCAATTATCGGGACATTGTAGGGTATCTACTTCATGAATTATTTGCAGTCCTGGAAGGATATTGCTTTATTTTGTCTGTCACATTTCTAATCAAAAGGTCAGAGAATATCACTGCAATCACACTTGCACGTATATTTTAACAACAGTGTCTACAAATATGCATTTCATTTAACTTATACTACAAGAACTGGCATGTTATGTCCGTACAAGTATTAACTAATGTGCCTTTGTTACCACAGGTGACACTCGAGAAGCATATTAACTATGGTATTCGTTACGCAAAGCTACTGTTGAATCATTGCAAGTGTAATTGAATGATGTTTGAACACTCCCATATTGTGCGACGAACGTACCTTAAACCATTGATTAATAGGTATATCAATGCCTTAAACTAATACAATTATGAAGCACCTACTTAGAATCTTTACCGATTAGTGTTGGCGACACGACAATTTTATCTGGCTGGTATAGATAATAAATAATATCAATAAAATTATTCATTATTTGTTCATGAAATCGCTGATCCTCTTTATTGCATGTCCTTATAAAATCCATTGCAATGTTATTAGCAAATATAGTTGCCAAATGTGTACCTACACAACTGCATAAAGTACGAGTCTATCTCGTCTCGATAGACCAACATGTGAACATAGCATGAGTTAATTATGAATTGGTAGATTGTGAGTAGCAAATGACAATAACAGCTGTCCTGCTATGGTCCAGAGGGTACGAAGAATGCGTTTCTATTTCATTTAGACAGTAGGTGCAATAACGGTACGTTTTGTCATGTGGTCCAGTCCCCGCGCAGTAAAAATTAAAAACATACTGTAGGTACAGGTAAATTGTAGAGACACAATCAAATGTACATTATGGTTTTTTTGCTGTATTTATTTTGCTCTCAACATCTAAATCACTCTTCAAATATTAAACATGTTTTAGTTCTGACTTCCGTTAGCACTAGATTGTAATGCGGTTAAAACATGATTGTACAGTACATGTACCTACCTACCTTCTACCTACACTACATATATAACAGTAACTCACGAGGGCTATATTTAGCTACTTACATATTTTCAGTACATTTTAAGTCACAAAATGAAGAGAGTCGTTTTTTTACATGTCAAACTCTAAAATTATATATAGGTAATTGGTATTATGTTCTAAGAGTCTGCTAGTACTCTTGTCATGACTGTCGAAACCCGCAATATCTATAATCTATCAAAAATGGAGTCGAGGTCTTAGAAGGTAAGGACCTCAAATCTAGTGACAAGGTGAGAAGTGAGGACGCAAGGTGCGTTGGTGGGCTCTGGCAATTGTTGTGGGCGAGTCACTTCGTCACGAACCGGTGACTCATGTTTAGCAAATTAAACGTTATTCCCATCACACCCAATAACCCCTTCATTTACCGTTTTCGTTCAAGCATAATGTTATTTTATATTAATATCAAAATCCATTTACAGATCCATTGTAATAATCTAACGAACAGAACAATATGATATTAGTTATCAGTGCCCAGATTATATATTTTGAGATCGGAATGTTTTATCCAAATAAGCTGATTTTTGTTTATTCAAAATATTCCAATGAAATTCTTATCAAGATGCTATTTCTGTAACATTTTTAGTAGACTATAAATAACTATAGCAACGCTGATTGGTTTCTTAGAGTTGCAGCATCATCAAATAAAGGTCTTATTCCGCTATATTTTTTTAGTAAAGGTACCTGTTTGTTTCCATGTCTAGGTATATGTTTTGTTAAATAATAAAAGATTCATTTAAATTTCAAGTGTAGGTTTGAAGAACCTTTTATATGTAATAAAAAAAATTATATATATTAAAAGGTTCTTCACTTGAACTGTATATGTGCAAACCTTCAGTGAAAATTGAACGAACCATCATTTGAATTGCATCAAAAATATTAACTTTAAAACAGAATTGCTGTAGCAAATTCTAGTGTAGCTCTAACATTCAGTATATACGTCTGTTGGGATCAATGTACACAAGTACCTGATTAACATATTCACAATGTAACTACAAATAAAAGCTTGTAAAAATGAGTGACAAAACTGTAAGCGTTGTACAAACCGTATGTAGATAATTTGTTTTCTTTGCTGATAAGGTAATGGCAGCGTTGAAAATGAACTGTCTCTTATCTGCCGCTCGAATTCTTCGTCAAATATTTTTAGATTACACAGACACTGCCAGCGTCCTTTACTGTACGTAAAAAATATTTGAAAAATCCGGTACTTAGACGTTACTCACATTTTAATTTTTCGGATGTTGAGGACTTGAATCCAGGACGCTAGAGCAATAAAGTATATTCAATAAAAATCATTGCGAGATGAAAAGTAAAAGTTACGGTACGACAGGTGCATGCTTATTGCATGATCTTAGAAGCCACATAAGCGAACAAAACGCACATACGTGCAGTTACAATGGTAAACCACTAACAACGTATGTTGTTACTCGATTTATTCAATTCACAAGCAGTTTAAAAGAATAATATTGTGTTCTTCCAGTCAATCTACATAGAAACGCGTTAATAATACGTAATACGTTTTCTGTTATAAACTTTTACTATATTGGCACTTGGCAGCTGCTAAATTGTACATAACATGTGTGCACAAGTTGTCTTTTATAATTGTTGCAAGATTATACTTCCCAAGTGATAATCTTATTCAGTACGAGTTTTTGTGTTGTAGTTCTTGGAAAATTGAAGTTGAAGTTATTTCGACTCGGCACTACAAACGCCAGCAGCATACAAATGACTGGTTCCTATAGTTTGTTATGCATACCTTGTAAGTCCTGCCTTTCTCGTGATCACCCTATCCTGTTTCTTGATTATTCTCAGATAGAATTAAAACTCTACCCACCTCATGTGACATTTAACGCCAGTAGATAGATATGCCGTCACTTATTCTTCCATTTTCACTTCGATCAATTCCACTTGAATTAATAAATGCAACTGTAATACAATGCTAGTAAATGTATAGATTTGTGGTCTTGGCAGGCGACGGGAAAATTTCTCTTTTGTAGGTATACTTAGTTCTCCTTGGTATTGTGTTGTGATAGGCGCGGACAGTTCATAACAATAGACTCTCGACATAATGGGGCCATTGATTGTGTGGATGTATCATGAATGTGTGAGTAGTATTTGTACCGATCTTGCTGGTACCTATTTTGTATCAAGTTTGTCTTTCAAATCATATAGGACAAATCATACTGTTTCTCTCACGCTTTTATTGTTCATTGACCTATGACGAGGAACTTATAAGGATTTATTCCATTACGCGTCTTCTTTCAACATTTTGTGCTACGTCTTTTCACAAATGAATGTCCTAAGTTAACAACATCAATTTATAGTTGAAATAGTCATACGTGATCTATTACATTAACCTTTATATTTATTAAACTTACACCCAAAGTAATTACAAAATAATTAAAATTAATTAATTGTTTCACTAGTTTATTTTGTAAAAAATATGTTGTTGCAGCAAAGAAACAAAATGGTTCAGCGGTACGCACGAACAGCCTGGGGTCGGGAGCGCGCACGCCTCCGGCTGAACGGTCCAAATCCAAGTTCTCAGCTTTTGGTAGACTATTCAAGCCATGGAAATGGAAACGGAAAAAGAAGTCTGAAAAATTCGAAGCTGCTTCTAGAAGTAAGTACCTGTGCACCTGCTAACAATATGCTATCTTAGCATAAGACTACATGGGGCGATAAAAGGCCTTCACGATAACCGGAACCGGACGTGATTCACGAAGCTGTGGAATTTAAATACATGCTTTTTTGTTTTATCGATATAAACAATAACTCTCTATTGCTGTCGTTTATGAAATTATCTGATATAGCTGCTATCTTGAGTCGAACTTCGGAACAACTGACAAACTATGTACGTACCAGTGAAGGAGATCTCGTCATTACTGACGAATCCCGGTATCAGATAACCCATTGCCTTCAATCTTTTTCGTGAACTGATTAGACTTAAGATAGTTACTATATTTTATTATCAGTTTACGTTTGAAGTACTGTTTATAAGGTTGAATACACATGTGCATTGTTACCGTTTGCAGCATTAGAGAGGAAGATATCCGTCCGAGCGAATAGAGATGAGTTGGTGCAGAAAGGTATCCTCTTACCGGAGAGCCCCGTTACGCCTGTGCCCGAAGTCGGTGAGTATTCAGAACACTAGTTCATACTAGATAATTATATGTACATAGTAAAAAACCTACATTATTAAAGCAAATTTTGGACACGAAGGTGCATGAGGTGCATTTGGCTTAATCAAAGTTAATAGAGTTGGACAGGAAAATAAAAGTTGTGTATCATCATTAAGAATATTCAAGTTGCTTGCTACCTCACTATGCATAGGTTAGGTAACAAATGACAGCACAATCTACTAGAGTTACGAAGTAAGGTCCATGACAATCTGTATGCGGGTATCTAAACTATTATAGTGTAACTAGGTAGTACCTCTTTATTTGCGTATATACAATACACAAATAAATAGGTATACAACGCACGTCAGAGTACGGGACAACGTACATCTTTTTGGAAGGTCGACAACCAACTAGTCACTCATCTGGAGTCTTCTGGTGTTGCAAGTATCCATGGGCGGCACACGTCGCTTACCATCAGGCAATCTGTGCTCGTTTACTTCTCATCCTGTACAAAATTCTGATAATAATTATCCAGAACTTTAAATATAAATTTACTCTTTTGCATAAGCAAAAGAGTTAATACTCTTACTCATATGGAAGCAATGAAAGTCTTGTGGTGATGACGATGATCAATCAAACCCGAGCTAGTGTGTTATAAATTATAATGCATTTTCTTAACACTAACCCTGTTTCTTTACATTTTTTAATATAATCCAAAGTAATCGATTACCTAATTACTATTAATAGTTTACATATTTAGTAGATAAACAAACGTTATCTGTCCGTCGATTAGGTATTAGTGCGTAGGAATTTATCAGTAGGTATCAATATTAATGCTAGTTGTAATACAGGATAATGAATATAATGATTGTCGTAAGTATGATATCTTTATTAGTTTTCCTTGTCATTATTGTTGTAAGAAATTCCCACCACTTACTAAGGAAAACCAAATATGAATTATATAATGTTGTCATCTCACAAAAATCAACATAATAACTGGTTTTTTGTCAGATCAGATACATACGAGCGTTGTCTACGGCCAGGTTGTATACGTCGTACAGGTCTGTACTTCTGTAGGTCCGAGGTCCAATCAAAATGAACTTAAGATCTCATGTGAGGCTTTTTGAAATCTCTGATCTGGTGACTAAATATTTAATTCCATTCAATCTAGTTCTATAATGGGTGATGTACTGAACTAGTAGTATATTACCGCTATGTACATACATTTTGCAATAAATAAATAATGACTAGGAAGTCATAATGACTTTGGTATTGCAATACAAAAGTCCTTTTGACAAAAAAGTTACAGGATTTACATGAAACAAATTAAGTCCTTTAAATACTTAATCAGCATTAAAATATATTATATTCCAAATTTAATAATACTATATTATATTCAAAATGTAATAATAGTTGTTTAACGTAACGGTAGTTGCATTAAATAACAGTAGATAATAATTATGTTTAATTAGTCTAACATTTGGAGCCAGGTACCGTACAAAACAGTAGAGCTCAAAATACGGAGTTTTCCAAAGCAAATACTGTATAAATAATGAGATAGCATGTAATTACTGTAACACTTATATCTGTGCCCGACGATATTGTACTTAGCATACCACTTAACTTCCGTGTGTTTAGGCACTAATCACTTATCGTTATCATTATGTATCGATTTCCTTCAACACCGCAGTGCTGTATCACGAAGTTTCATTCGGAATCAAAGTCAATGTTTATTTATTTCAATTAAACCGTAATTAGACAATTTTGAAACGTTAAAAAATTGAATTCCGTCGGTCTATCTGTCAGTAAAACCTCGTTCCTTAATGTAGTTTCGTATGGAGAAGAACGAGCAAGAAAATCCATCAGCACTCTTTAAAAAAAAAAGAATCAGACCCGTGTAGTGCCAATAGTGAGAATCCAATTCAATACGTGACCGGTTCGTTGACATTCGAATTTAGACAGCCCATTCTTGGATCATTCATGGAAGCAAGTACTTTACAATACAAATCCAATTACAAGCGTGGTCCATCGAGTTGGCCCCACAGACCAAAGATTTCTTCTATCGGCTCGTAAACATAAGGTCAAATATGGTACCCAAGTTCTTAATGGACCGTTGGCGTTGCTTAAACAGTAGAACAATACTCAAGTTAACAAAGAAAGTTTTTTGCTACAACCTTGTTTCCTAGAAGATTTGTGTTGCAATACTAATAAATTATTTGTTTTAGATGAACCTGTATCGCCCCCGACGGGTGCTGAGGAGGCGCGGGGAGATGTCAGCGCTGCGCAGGCGAACCAAGACCGGCTCATGGGCATGCACGCCGCCCTGCAGGCACAGCTGGCGTCGCAGCTGCAGCAGCAACAAGCTGCTATGGCTGCAGCAGTGGCCGCTGCCGCTGCCGCGCACCACCACCATCAAAACAACAATGTCATAGGTCAGTACCGAAATGCTTTTAACTTTAAAGCCGTACTAACTCAGTCTTTATGGCAACGTAGTATATTTTTAAAAACGCCTGCCATAGTAGAAAATAATGTTAACAGTATGCTTAGTGTCAGTTGAACGTTTTTATTCATACATGAGACCAAAATTAGGATTGAACTGATTTCGAATAAACGCACGTTATATATTTTTTAAGACAAAGTAAGAAATACTGCGAAAAAGTAATATCTTGCAAATTGTTTTTATAAACTGCACAATACCAAAATCTTACAGTTTATGCAAGGAACTATGATGACATTTTTGTTTCTGTGCAAGTTCATGCTTTCTAGGCTCATTTTCCATTAACTGTTGAAAGTCTCTCCAAACGTGCTGAGTTGGCTAATTCTAATGGTTCTTCAAACGTATTCATTGCTTTTCTTATAAAGTGAAAGAAAGTGTGGGAGAGCCATGCTTCGGCACGAATGGGCCGGCTCGACCGGAGTGATACCACGGCCTCACAGAAAACCGACGTGAAGCAACGCTTGCGTTGTGTTTCGTCGTGTGAGTGAGGTTATCGGAGGCCCAATTACCCTCCCCTTCCCCAATCTCCCCAATCCCTGAATCCCCAACGATCCTCAAACTCCTAATCCCCAAAAAGCCGGTAACGCACTTGTAACGCCTCTGGTGTTCCAGGTGTCTCTGGGCGACGCCGATTGCTCACCATCAGGTGATCCGTCTGCCCGTTTACCGGCTTAAGCCATAAAAAAAGCATGAATTCTTAATTTTGATATTTTTAATTATAAGATATTTAATCTTTTGGAACTGACCGTAAAAAATATTAGACTTCAATATAAACAGAGAAAAGGAAAACTTACCAATTTTTTATATGAATCAACCTATTAATGTTCATGAATGAACGGAATTACAAATGGTGTCCGGAGTTGTGTGTTAGACGGCTCGATCAAGGCAAATCAATAGATAAAAATATCACGCAATAGTGAATAGTTTGTGCGTTAATCATACGCGTTTTCCTCCTACATTGTGGCGATTTTTCCTTGTTTATGCGTATTACTTAGTGTTTCTCAATACTGTCAATAGTGAAGATTTGATCGCATTCCTTACGTAAATTCCTTACCAATAAATTAAAATTCTGGGCCAAAAGGTGTGAAATTCTAATTATATTTGTCTCAAAAATATCTCAAAGTTTATTAGTTTTCTGCAGTTGTTTATTATAAAATTTGGCTGTGATAATTTCATAAACTTTTTGCTTAACCTAACGTCAAATAATGTCAACCAGGTACTTAATTTAATTGTATGCAAAGTAAATACGACACCAAAGAATTATGTAATATTTTATTTGCATATTCTATGAGTGATAAATAAGCATTTTGCCATCTGTTAGTTTCTCCTGTGTAGAACTCATTTAATACGTAGAGGGCTATGCAAAGCTTATTCAATATTGTCCTACTTGATAATTTGAGATACGAGGCTAGACAAATTTGCTCACGGTACACCACATGAATGAAAAGGTCATGCGTATCATAATAACACATAGATAATAGAATTTATAAATCATAAAGACTATTTACTCCACATAATTTATTTTTCAATCTTATAATATTATATAAAGAGTTTGTTATTTTGTTAGTTTGTCTGTTTGTTTGTTTGTACGCGCTAATCTCCGTAACTACAAGTCTGATTTGAATAATTATGGTGTTGGATAGCGCATTTATTGAGGATGGCTATAAGCTATAAAACATCATGCTTCGACCATTAGGAGCTGAGCAGAGCGTGTGAAACCGCGCGGAAGTAGCTAGTTTACAATAATACTGCTTTTGAAATAACCCAATATATTCACATTAATTGGTTTTAGCTTGACAATTTCTTAATTTCCCTCTTATGTCTTTTATTAATAACCTAGTTCAGGCACATGCCGTGCCATAGCAATAATAATATAGAATTAAGACAAAAATAGAAATATTCTGTTTATATTGTTTGAAAAAAATATAATTATAAATATAATTTATTTTTTACTTTCTAATGCAAGTGTACATTTACAAATTATGTCAATTTACAATAAGGACGGTTCACAATTTGAGAGGTATAGATGAAACAATATATTATGGAAAAAGACAAATTCTCAATTGCTTTATGGTGAGCATTGATCTTAAACAGATTCCATCAGGCAATTAATTTTTTTAGGTCTAATAAGTATTTTTGTGAACTGAGGTTCGGTTCCACGAATACACAACTAAGAACAGTTCAGAAGCAACATTCACATTTCTGTCACTAGCAAATTACGAACTTTAAAGCTTTTCCTCTAATGATTACTGGTCGTACAGACTCGCTATCATCTCTAAGAGAGCAATGGTCAGCATTTATTCGTTAAACATTGTCCGTATTTTCGTCTATTACACATCTGGCTAATTCGTGACTGTTGTGATTATTATTAGCTGCTCCACATTTGTATCAATAAAACTTTGGATTCGTTCACCAATCTTTACAATATCTTGCTCCACGCTCTTCGTACTCAACCCAATAGCGTGTAGGAATTGGTCATAGATCTCTTTTCATTTCACCAATTTATTTATTCGTTCTGAGTCATAAATTCGTGCTAGGTACAAAAATATTATAATAATTTCCCATTCAACATTTATTAAATCAAAAGGTTTTCCATTTGAGTTATTGTTTTCAACAAATAGTTACGTACTGTTATAAGTATAAATTGTTTCTGAGAGGATTGTATCTGTATCTACAGATATTGACAAAGATTCAGTTTGATAGGAAGTAATTGAACACAAGTATACCTAATATGAGTACTTGTAAGATCCCATTACAATAGGTTTGATTCAAAAGTTTTTTCTATCAAAATACACTAGGACGTTACTTTGAGCGTATATAATTATTATAATGTCATTTCAATAAATGTACTTTAAAATATTGAATCTGATTGAATTTAATTGGTGAATAGGTAGTGACGCGTGGCGGGAATTAACGACATCCTGACAGGACGAGCGTCGAACGTTGACCCACCACAAGCTGTCTAGTTGTCATAGAGCCACCGCAATAATGTGACGTCATTATACCTGATATCAGATATATTTAATAGAATGCTTAATGTGTGTGAATAACTTAAAATATCACACTTCTATTAATCAGAACTTTGGCTAATTCATTACTTGTTTATTAGTATTGTTCTAACCTAATTTCGAATTCGCGCGAGAAAGTATTTGCGGCACTTTTATTAAACTGTACTAAATCCAGTTGGCAAAATTCGCACATTCTATTTTCTATTTCTGCTACTTCTTAGTCAATAGCACAATAATTTACTTCACTTGTTTCTTCCTGTAATCTAGCTGTTTTGTCACTTGACACAAAAAAGTAGTAAACAAGACATTGCTCTACAATAAGTCAAACTAGAGCTATTGAGATTACAAAACTAAGACAAATGGGTGCTCTACTTTACAAATGGACATGTTACATAACTCATTATAAATTATGAAATCCTCTGCGGTTCTGTCAGCGTTAAATGGGTCGGCCGGCTAAAATTGAAATACGCATGTTCAGTGTCTCTCGATGCCTAGGTGTCATGGAATTGTGAAGCAGCGAGGCAGTAGTCGAAGTCTAGATTGTGGAGCCGGTGACTGGGGGTTGGGTACCGACCTGCCGGCTGTAGGGCATGTGCGCGGGGTGCGGTTGTGCGGCGCGCGCCTCAGTGTCGGTCCGCCCGCGCCCGCGCCCGCCCGCGCCGCCGGCCCGCGACCTGCCACAAACCGACCCTCGCGTCCGCCTCTCCTAACCTCACTCGATTACCTGCTCACATAGATATACCACCTGTCAAATCACCGGGATCCAAAACGGCATTCTTTGCTTTTTTTTATCTCAACCACCCTTTGTTGAGATCATTGTAATAACCCAATGACTCTACATATGAATCGGAGATGTAAAGAAAGCTTTAAAAGCTTTAGAAGGTGCAGTGTGCTTTGTTTTTAATTGGTTGCATAGGTCAAAAATATTTTTTTTACTTGGGGAAATATACGAAACAAAGTATACAAAACAAAAAGTTTTGTCGTAAATATATATTAATACAGTGCGACTATTCTGATGTAAGCTTTCCTGCTCATTCTAATTGCAACAACATTAATTCGTAAATATACCGTTCTGTTTCATTGCCATCATGTTATCATAGTATTAATACTACTTACAATTGCTGCATATAGATATTTTGCAAAAATATAGGACCCTACATTACTTCAGCTCCGAAAATAAATGTGTGGTTTATTTTTATTTGCATCTTGTGTCACACCATTACAAAGCATTATTGTCAATGTGTCAAAGAATTAAAATTTACAGCAGTTTTAATTTTAGTGGAATAAAAGTATTAAATAAGTTACTTTTGCTAATTGACGTAAATAAACTATTACAGAATATTTAAGTTTCTGAAGTTGCAATAATATCCTGAAACTTTTAACCGAGTATTGTAGGTTGGTGCTAGTATTGATTGGAGGGTTTTTTCGTGGGGCTAGACATATGTTTTAGTTATGGTCGGTGGTTAGGTCTGAGGCGCGAACTTTGCGTGCGGTATCGATCGGCTCGGCCGCCAGCACGCGATCGCAACCGCTGCACCGACGTCGTTGCCCCGTTGCCCCGCGACGTTTGCATGACATGTGCTGCTGAACACTGACAATATCAAATATTCAAACCAATTATTTGAAATTGCCATTCAGTCATGATGCCCTCAATACCTGTTGTAGGTACACCTTTACCATTCCGCATTGCGCACACTTTCTGTTCCTTTGTCCAAGCCTTTCCAGTATTGCAATCGCAATTACAAAAAGTGCAATCAGTCAGCTAGTTGTTCTAAAAATTATAGAGTCGTCTATTTGATCATTTTGCAGTGTTAACTGAAGGTGTTAATATAATAAATGTTATATAATTTGATAATAAAACAATGCCCAAAAATTTTGGGAATTATACTGGTTACATTTTATGGCTGACCATTAAAATGTCTTGATG